TTTAACGCAATCTTTCCAGGAATGCTAGGGCTTTGAAAGTGATACTGGCATTAGGGAGTCAGGTTCGAGAACTGAGAAGGTGGAATTAGGGCTATAGAGGTTGTCCCAACAAAAGATTACACTGCAGGAGAGCAGAGTGCTAACAGAGATAGCTTCCTTAAAGGGAAATTCCACCTTTTAATTTCTCAAGGGTTTTCCTTTTAATTCTTCATGTGATTCTGTATTAAAAAAAAAAACAACTTTCCGACTCTGGTATTATATAGGCTTGGATTAAAAGGTTTACAGATTTTCCTGTACTTCCACTGTATACCCGAAGATATGTTCCGACAATTTATACTGGGAGTTTTAAGGCAACTCAAAACAAATGATATAAATATGTAAATAGTTTTATTACCAAATTGTTGGGAAATATCATAGTTTAACACATAACACAAATGTTAAAATCAAACATAGAAGGAAATGGTGAAAATGCCTGTAAACTTGCTGTAGGCCGAAAATTGGTATTCACCCTCTCCTGTAAACCAGAAGAAACGGAAAAGAGAGTAACCTTCTGCTGAAAAGACCCAACGCATTTCAAAGCAAAAGGGCTCTGGCCCTGCTTACTTTGCAGCAGTCCTCGAGAGGAAGTGGAGGGTTGCACCATCCACTTTCATCCTTTCTGGGCGAATCCATCCGCCCTGTTACTGGCGTCTGCCAGTCTGCTAGAATTGTGTGCCTGCGATGCGCCTACGTGTGATGTCATCACGCCCCCATGGACTAGTGTCTCTTTTGGAAGATTTCTCCTCTATTCCTGTTCTCCTTTCAACCCAAAATTTGGAATGTCCTCACACTTTCGATGACAATGGTAAACAGAACAGATAGAGAGGTTGAATCTCTCCCTAACGGGGGCACATGGAACAATAAAAACTGACACGTTTTCTAATCCCTGTTCAACCTATCCAAAACTAAACAAAAAAAAAAAGTCTTGCCTTTAGTGTCACTTTAGAGTTAAAAAAAATGCAAGAGATCTTGGCACACAGTACTTACAAAAAAAACCAAACATGTTTTTATATATTTTTTTATAGATTACTGATTAAAAATGTTTTTTTTAATTTATGTACTTTGGTCTTAGAGCTCTCCTTTTTCCTATACCTCTATAGTGTAATTGAGTTTTCGTTTGCTGAAGAATTGTGTATAATAAATAATTTCACCTTTTTATCCTTTGTTGCATCTCAGTGGTCCTAATCTCCTGCAGCCTCTTTGTGGCTCCAGTGTCAGGGCTCCCGGTATGACAACTCCAGTGTCAGGGCTCCCGGTATGACCAGAGGTGTGTGGACTAACACAGGGAAACGCAGGCTTCAGATATGGTATAAACAATATAATTTATTAAGACTAACAATACAAAACGCAGTGCAAAACTAAACATAAACACAGTGCAAACAAACCAAACCAAACCACCCACCGATAACAATACATACAATACAAAGAGTAGTCAGGCAGGCCGGGTCAGTAGCAAACGGGTAAACGGAGTAACAGGAACAGGCGGGAGAGTGGTAGGGGTCACAAGCTGGGTTCAGTAACTCACGGGCAGCGCGGTACAGAGGGTCGGGCAGAGAATGGTCAGGGTAACAAGCCAGGGATCAAGCAGGAGAAGTCCGTAGAGGTCAGGATCAGGCAGGGTCGGCAACAAGTCAGACAGGAACAGGAATACAGGATACAAGGTACAGGGGCCCATGGAAAAACACACACCAAGGCCCTGACTGTGAGTCTGGCCATTCCTTAAATACAACCCCTGCAATCAGCTTCAGGTGTTTGGCTGATTGCATAGCCTTTACCAACATGTGGTTTAAATCTTTTTTGATAACCCCCATTGGCACCAGAGTGTAGTGGGGTTTGAGATCATGTGCTGCAGTGATATTGGCTGTCACAGTGGTCATATGATCGGAAGCTAGTGGCTGGCCGCTCCTGCAACGGTGCCCGCGCCTGGCATAATTCTGTTTTTTGCTTGAGGGGTGAGTCTCTGATTGCTGAGAGCACCCGCTGGCCAGCCCTGGTACTGCAGCCCACAAGGGCTGTTAAGGGCACAAGCGAGTTATGCATGCAAATGTTGGAGGCAAGCATTTTGACATGCAATGGCTTCCATATTAGCATGTGTCTGAAGGGATAGCTAGAATTGTGCAGTAGCTTATCAACTAGATTCAACAGGCCTCTCCGTGCAGTTCTGGAGTGGTACCATTAACTCCAGTCACATGATGACTGGGTCAGAGGGTGGGCATTCAAAAAGCCCCACCACATTATATCATTTTAAAAAAAATGCAGATGCAGAATTATATAATGATTAAAAATGATTACTGTCTGGGGCTATTTTAAACAAAGTTATCCATTTCAATTACATGTACGAACTCATGCAAAGGAGCTGTGATCATTATTTTTTTCTAGAGTTAAAAGTTGGATTTTCACTTGTGCCGTCGTCTTCTATTAACAAAATTGTGTTTATAAAGCATGAACTTCCTGTTTGACAATGATTTCAACCTACCACACTTAGATTCCATTATCTTCAGACTTGGGCGAGATAAAGACAAAAAGTCTAAACACTGTGTGAAGCAGCTTGGATGTGATTCAAGAGAATGAAATGGCGAAAGAACCTACAAATTCAAACATATTGCAAAATGATAGGAAGACCCGAACAAAGAGAGTTTATAGTGACAGGTGTGGTCCTTAGTTTTAAAGCAAGCCTGTCTCCTTAAAATGAATTAGCCCCTTCAGAGCAGACACCCTTTGGTGCCATAAGTTACTGTTAGCCCTAAGAAGCACACATTGATATGATCAGTTTCTGTGCAGCCAGTCTTCAGGCCTAATTGATATTTAACATTTTTAATGATTTCTAAGGAAGTAACAGCATTAAAGCCAAGCTCCAGACAAATATAAAAGACAGAAATGAATGCAGCTCTGTATTGATACATAGATCATTACATTTCTTATTTTTATGCAATTAGTACTGGTAATTGCATTTGATATGGTATCAGTCCTTAACAGGGGCAGACTGACCATTTGAGCACTCGGGCCTGAGGTCAGTAGGGGGCCCCATGAAATGCCCCTAGTACCTTTTTATAGGTTTTTTTGGGTGTGCTTTGAGTGTGGGCAAGGACACAGAGGCCCCATCATCCCCTATTGCCCGGGGGCCCCATGAGTTGTCAGTCCACTCCTGGTCAATAACAATCCCTGTACGGCAGCATCCAGACTGGGAAGGGAGGACCTAGAGCCAATCACATGCGACGCATGGAAATGTTCTGACAAGGATTGTGGCGATAGAAGGAGAAAGCAGAGAGATGACCTCTCTCCTGTCAGCAGACTATTACTTAAAGTGTATGTTACCCCAACTTTAACCCCTTCCCACTGGCCACAGCCATATATTTGGCAACATGTTAGTGAACTTTAAAGGATAAGTTCACCTTTTAGACAAAATTAATAAATGCACTTTTTTTGCAGGTAAAATAAAAGTGACTTTATTATTTTTGTCTACATGAGCCTGAAAAGCATTGCACCAGAGATCAGTAGATCACTGATGCCATGCAGGTCTCCTGCAGACCTGTCAGAATATCTGCTTGCCATACGGCATGCACAGGCAAGCAGATATTCTGACAAGAAGCTTCAACGAACTACCACGGTGCACAGCACTCACAGTAGTTCATTAAAAACTACAAGCTGAAAGCTGCTAAGTCTGTTGGGACTTGCAGTTCATTCATTCACGGAAGTCTGTGAATGAATGATGCAGCCCTAAAAATGGGTGGAACATGCAACATGTTCCCAAAGATGAATGTATCCTTTAAAACCAAGCTACTAAATATATATATATACGATACATACAACAGGCAGCAATGTTTTGTGCTAGGAGTACACTTACTCTCCCCCAGCTGTGTGACCGAGGTGTCATTGACAGCTCTCAGTCACTGTTTGGAATCAGAAGTTGGTGGTATGGGCTCCCAATCATGTGATCACTGTGACAGCCAGTCATGGTGTTCACATGCATTTCATCTTTGTATTTTTCGGTTTGTCTGAAGTTGAGCTTTAAATGGTATTTTTTAAAATATCAGCTTGGAGTTTATTATTACATTTTTCTTAGAATTACCAATTATACAGAGCAAACTGTTCCACTGCTGTATAACATCAGGATATCAGGAATCATACACTGCGTATAAGAGCCATCCATCAATATAACAAGTGCCCACTAGGGGAAGATGATACACCCTTTCCTGTGGTCATACCAGACCATCACAAATAAATGTACACCAGTGAACAGAATGCATGGATGCCGTCAGGCAATCAAAATAGTTCGGCCACAGTGATTAGGAGATGTTCCAAATGCAGCCACAGACATGGAATCTGGCAGCGCCAGCAGTAATCAATCATTCGATATACAAGACTTGAAAACCCACCTCATGTTTTTTAACACTTCAGCACTAAAATAACACCAATAGAGGGTGAATTACACTGAACAGCTCCTGCTAGGTGAGACAGATAATGTTAACAGGACTGAAAAAACAAAGGGTCATCTATCTTCCTAAAGTAGAGAAGGGCAGCCCACTGGGTACTGCAATATGTCTTGGAGATCCCAAAGTTTACTGGGACATATAGATAGATGGGTAGATAGGTGTTCTAGTCAAACATAGCCTCCATTTGAATGCAGAGTTGTTTAAGACATGTGCCGCAAAGCAAAATGCAGCAGAATCTGATCTGCTTTGCCTGCTCTTCAGAAGAAGACACACAATGCAAAACAGGTCAAATGCATCCTATAAACTGCCATCTACAATACTCCATGGAAATCAATGGTCTGCTGAACTGTGTCTGACTTGCAATTTCAAACATTGAACAATAATGGTTGCCTACATAAGCCCTTTTCAACTTCACTGAATTCAGTTTCTCTTTGGCATCTTAAAATAAACGTTTGCTTTACTCATGCAGGCCAAAGCAACAGGTGCATTTTAATGTAGACCTGGATGCAGGGGCGGACTGACAACTCATGGGGCCCCCGGGCAATAGGGGATCATGGGGCCCCTGTGTCCTTACCCAAACTCAAAAAAGCCTATGAAAAAGGTACCAGGGGCATCTCATGGGGCCCCCTACTGACCCTGGGCCCTCGGGCAGTGCCCAAGTTTCCAAATGGTCAGTCCGCCCCTGCCTCAATGTATATACATCCTTCCTTTCCCTCCCCTGCCACTCTGTTTATTCAGTGGGAGTGAAGAAAAGTCTTGTGTAAGCTACAGGTCACTGGCGTTGTAGCTCACACATGGCTATGGATTACACTAGGACAGCTTTGATTGGCCCGTGCTGTCATATGGGTGAGTCACATGTTCCATATCTGGAATTGTAGAGGTATTCTTGGCAGTGGTGTGAAGGAAAGCTGACGAGGAGCGGTTAAAGCTAACCTGCTGCTTTGCTCTAAATTGTTTTTGGGGTCCCAGTGCAAAAGTAAAACACTGACACATTGACACTTGGTAAATAATAATGACATACTGGCACTTAAGGGTTTCAGATTAAGAGCACATTTGAAGATCTAAGAACAATGGTATGCTGAGAGTTGAGTGGCCCAGAGCAAACCCCACTCAAACTAGCTGAGAGTTGAGTGGCCCAGAACAAACCCCACTCAAACTAGCTGAGAGTTGAGTGGCCCAGAACAAACCCCACTCAAACTAGCTGAGAGTTGAGTGGCCCAGAACAAACCCCACTCAAACTAGCTGAGAGTTGAGTGGCCCAGAACAAACCCCACTCAAACTAGCTGAGAGTTGAGTGGCCCAGAACAAACCCCACTCAAACTAGGAATCCCAGAATGAAATATTTATACTTGTGAGTTTTAAGCCATACATGGATCAAAATTCTCCTTATTCAGCAGGGACCAGGTGAATTTCAATCCTATGTTTGGGCTAGCTGGCTGTACATAGGTTGATCTACCAATCCACTTGTGTACAACCAGCCTGATGGGTTTTTGCTGAACAATCAGTGCCGCCAGCTATAGCCAGCAAGCCTGATCATTGTTTTCTGCCAACAGGGAGGGCTCCTCGCCCACAGAATACAATAGTTCAGCTGGAGTGATTCCTCCATTCACATCGAATGTGCAAATGGGGGCATTGGTTCTTTTTTTTTGTTTAACCCACTGGCTGAACAAAAACAAAAAAAGTCATGTATGGCCTGCCTAACACTTGAGAACAACGACATAACACAAACAGATTATGGACAACGACAGACTGATATTTGAGTCTAAGAAAAATGAAGTATTGACATTTGGGTCCCAGAGCAATGACATAGTAAAAGTTATCTCCTAGATTGTAAGCTCCAAGGAGCAGGGCCCTCCTATCCCTCTTGTATTGAACTGTATTGTTGCTGTATTGTCTCCCGTTATTGCGAAGCGCTGAGCAAACTGTTGGCGCTATATAAATCCTGTATAATAATAATAAGAAGAATGTCCAGACCAATGACATACAAACCCTTGTATCAAGAATAATAACATACTGACACCTGAAATGATTTTTATTTGGTATTGTAGAACATTCCTGCTTTTTTATTTGGACATTTTGTTTTTAGCAAAGTTACGCTGTAATCTGTAGCAATCCACTAAGAGTGAGGTATTGTCTTCCTCTGTTTCCCACAGCAATTGAACACCACTATGTAAAATGATATATAAGTGTGTAAAATAAGAGCCATATAAAAGTAGTACTAATATTAGTTTAGGTGACTCAAAGTGATGCACTTTAAGTTGCCATTAGCACTTCACTAATGTAAGCGTTGTGTCTAATAGGTATTTTACGATCGTCTGTAAAATGAAATAGTTCTCTGTTGGCCTATGGTTGACATATGGTTAGGTGAATATGTCTATTAAATTTCTTCCTCTGGCTGCTCAACAGTCTGAACCATCCTTTGATACTCATCCCCTTTGCCACATATATATATACATACTATATACAGTATATGCCCTCTTGCTATGATAGCACTTAGCACTAGCTGTCAGGAAATCATCAAAACCTTGAACAATGGGCATCCAGAGATTCCAGAGGTTTTTAGAAACTCCGGGTACTCTGTTAAGGAAATCTTAGCTTTAGGTGCTGAAGATAAGGCTGCCTATTTTGCCTCCACATTTTACTGCTGGTCAACAAGGCAACCCATCATGGATCAGTAGTAAGGTGTTAATCTGAGATGTAAACATTACAGTCCAGGTATCCGAAAGAAGGAGCACACATTTCTAACTTTTCAGATTTGAAGTCAATATAGTGGATCTCAAGTGAACACACTGTTTCACTTTATTTAACAAGGACCTAGTGAAAGAGATGGCCCTGTTCAATTCTGAATAGCTTGCCCCCCTCCCCTTCCTGTCTTCATCCACACTTCTTTTATGGGTCCTACTTGGTCTTTTGGGCTTTAGGGCAACACAGACTGTACAGGATGCATGTTGGTCGCTTACCAGGTGACTATTTGGGCATTGTCTGGACTAGCATATGTGTATGCTGTGATCTGAACCAGGGGCGGACTGACCATTCGAGCACTCGGGCAGTGCCCGAGGGCCCGGGGTCAGTAGGGGGCCCCATGAAATGCCCCGGTACCTTTTTATAGTCTATTTTGGGTGTTATTTGAGTGTGGGCAAGCACACAGGGGCCCCATGATCCCCTATTGCCTGGGGACCCCATGAGTTGTCGTCTGCCCCTGATCTGAACTCTAGTTCAATCAGCACAGGAAACAAAATGCCTGTAGCTTTCAGAGGTATAGGTGTTAGGGAGAAGTTATTGCTGGCCACCTGACGGGTGGCTAAAGTATTCACTGGCTAGAGAGAGCTTTACTGTGTCTTTAAATTTGTGCGTAAGTGCGTTATCTATAACAGTTCATGCTATGTAGGTCCTGGAGAATTCAAGGGAAATGGTACCCACAATACAGATATGGGTGATCTTATAAAGAGCTCAAGCATTATATAGCATAGAAGACACTGTCTCAGAATCACAATTGAAACCACATGCTTGTAGCTGTGTGGAATTTTGTTTAATGGATTTGAACACAGCGGTGTTGTTTCCTATTTGACACAGCTACATAAAGATCTGTAATGTAGTGATGCGTTCAGAGCTATTAAAAAAAGAAAGAACATTTTATGTTTGAGTGCAGTAATTTAGGTATATATGCATAAATTGTAACACCGGCAGCTCGAAGAGGATGAAGAAGAATTGTACACATGTGTACACGGCACACATGCACATTTATGAATCTGTAGGCGTGTGTATGCGTGACCTTTATGGAACGTGACTTGCAGTTTTTTTACTCAGGATCTTTCTGCTGGCAAACTCCTGCATATAACTATCAGTAAACTATTATGACAGTGTGCAAGAGGCCTAACCCCTTGTTGGCCAGACTGGGTTATTCTGACAACTGAGTGAAAAGCACAACAGAAATGTGCAGAGGTTCATTATTTGTAGTAGCAAAGAGAAGAAGGACTTGGAATCCTGTACCAAGGTCACAGTGATCTAAGGTGCTTTATCCCTGGCTTTAGTGTAATACACTGGAAGTGCTTATTATAAAACAAAATCTGCAGCAGATAAAGGGGATATAGATGACATGTGGGCAGGTGTTTTGGTAGTCTATGGCAGACTGATTATGTTATACAAATGGGCAGTGACACAAGAGAATACTGTTCACTGAAAGGAGGTCAGCAGATATATGCTAAAACTTGTTATACTATAGAGGAACAAGCCCTATTCTTCAGCAAATGTAACATCAAATGAATACACAAAATAGGATGTACCTTATATTTGTCAGCTGTTACTGACTGCCAAGGGACAGTTCCAGATTTTGGAGACTTGTCCGTAGAAATGTGTATTTTAGACAATGCTTTAACTTGAGCTTAAGCTAAGGAAAACTTCAGATCGGCAACAGTGAACAACTGAGATTCCTGGGCCAGGTGTCCCCGTGATACTGTAATTCTATTGCTGGATCTTCCCACACTACTCTTGATTCTTGTGTCAGATTTCCCCATGTGATTGCTGGGCCAGGTTTCCCAATGCCATTGTGATTCTTGTGCTGGAAATCCCAAGGTTTCTATAATTCTGTGTCTGAAATAATCCCCACACTACTGTGATTCTTGAGATGGGAATATTCCCCAAGCTACTCTGATTCTTGTTTTGGGTTTCTCCACGCTACTGTGATTTGTGTGCTGGCAATCCCCATGCTAGTCTTATTCTTTTCCAAGTTGTCCCCGTGCTATTGTGATTCTTGTGTCAAGCTTTCTTATGCTACTGAGATTCATGTGCTGAGGATCCACATTTTACTGCGATTCTTGTGCCATGTTCCCTTATGCTACTGAGATTCATGTGCTGAGGATCCACATTTTACTGCGATTCTTGTGCCATGTTCCCTTATGCTACTGAGATTCATGTGCTGAGGATCCACATTTTACTGCGATTCTTGTGCCATGTTCCCTTATGCTACTGAGATTCATGTGCTGAGGATCCACATTTTACTGCGATTCTTGTGCCATGTTCCTTATGCTACTGAGATTCATGTGCTGAGGATCCACATTTTACTGCGATTCTTGTGCCATGTTCCCTTATGCTACTGAGATTCATGTGCTGAGGATCCACATTTTACTGCGATTCTTGTGCCATGTTCCCTTATGCTACTGAGATTCATGTGCTGAAAACGCACATTGTACTGTGAGTCTTGTACTGGGTTTCCCCATGCTACTCAATTTTTTGTACTGGGTTTCTTTTCCATTCAGATGCCCCATGCTGCTAATGCTACCTAGATTCTCATGCTAGATTTTCTCATGCTTCAGTGATTTTTGTGCCAGGCTTCCCTCTGATAATTGTGTTGACTTTTCCCATTCTACTTTAGATCTTGTGCCAGATTCCCCACAGTACTGAGATTCTTGGGCTAGGTTTCTCTATGCTACTTTGCTTCTTGTACCAGATATCCCAATGCTAATTTAGGTCTTGTACTACATATCCCAATTGTTGTCTGATTCTTGTAACAACTTTCCCCTATGCTTTTGAGATTCTTGAGCTGGGTTTCTCCACGCTACTTTGATTCTTTTGCCAGGTTCCCCATACTTTTTTTTCAAACACATTTTTACTTAGAGTTTACATGTATACGGAAGGAAAGCAAATACATAAAAGCCAAATTTTGCTAGATCAAAAGGTATATTAACAAAAGACAAAGTTGCATAGATGACCTAACCGGCTTTCCTCATATTACTTTGATTCTTGTGCTGAGCTGCCCATACTACTGAGATTTTTGTCCTCAGTTTCCAGATGCTACCTTAAAGCCCTGTGCCGGGTTTCTCCTTGCTACTACGATTCTTGTTCCAGAGGCATTATTAAAACGAGCGAACAGAAGGAGAACCGTGTGCATGACAAGCCTGAAGATTCCAATGCAGGTCTAGGTGTTGGACAGCTCATTGGCAAGTAAAGGTAGAGAGATACCAGTGCACCACAAAGAGGTCCCTCAGTTGGATAACCAAGAAATCATTGTTTAATACAATACCAAATATGTGGAAGCACAAGCATATAAAAATGTGAATGTCACAAGAAATAACTTTAAGGTAATAATAGCTAAATATAGGCACTCAGTAAACGAGTAAAAAAAAAAAAAGAACATGTAGTATATTCCTCTCTGGTGACAAGTAACTTTCCCTTTACTCCAGCACTGCAGAATCCTTAAAGCTCGCTTGCATTCAACACTTTTTGGAGTGCTGGATAGTTGCATCCCCTGCCTCATGCTGGTTCATCCCCCTACATCACTACAGGATTTAGCAGTGACATAGGGGTCAAGAAAGGGGCCACATCACATGGTGTGGAACACAGGCATCTAGCACTTCCACAGTGTCAAATGCTGAAGGTTGACTGAAGGAGGCTGCAGCACTGGAAGGAAGGGGAGAGAGGAGTCAGGGGCCCCTGAAGAGGTGAGTATAACACTGTCTGTCTCTTGCAGGGAACTGGACTTTTTATTTGCTTACAGACCTGACAGTGTCTCTTTAAACATTCACCAAGTACTGGATTTTTTTTAATCTTTCAATTAATAGATGGAAGAAGTTATAAAGACCTTCACTGACTCAACCAAACTCCCATCCAATTTTGACCAAATTCTGGCAAATCAATTCCCACTTTTTCCACTTCCCATTTCTTCCGGGGTTCAAAAGTTGTCACTGTCCAACAAAATGGTAACAACTGTGACATACTGATGCCTGCACATTTACCCACAATTACATCACTGCAAAGGGCAATGTTTAGCACACAGATGGGTCCCTCTCTGTTTTTCAAAATAAATGAGTTAGTAGTGAGTGAGACCTCTGTCGACCCTGCCAGATCTGACACAAGCGTTTTATGATCCGTATTACACAACCTGTTTTTATTACATCATGTTTCTCCACTTAAGTCTTATTGGACCACCCAGGGGAAGAAGGGTTCTTGTTTGATCATCAGGAATGACTCAGATTATTTCTGCGTGACCTGTGTACCGTGCAGGGGGCCCCGGGTATGATATCCAGGATTTGCCCAGTGGAATGAGAGGCCAAACTGACTCATCTCTGCTTGAAGAGTAACTACAGTTTTTCTTTATCAGGGTGACAAGCTGCATAGTTCAAGATTAATGAGTTCCAGAGGGGGAATGAGGAGGAGGGAATGAAGGGAGTCAATGTATGAATGTACAGCCTAAACGTAAAGTGTATGTAAACCCTAAAAATGAACCTCTCGTATTTGCTCTTTTGGTCTGTTATATATAGATAATAGTGTTTTGTTATATCTGTTCGATATAGTAAAAGATACCTGCTGTTCTTGCTAAAAAATCCAGTATACTGGCAACTTCCTGTACACTCTGCCTCTGCTGTACTGTTATTCTGTAGACTACCACTGTGGACTAGAAAAGAGGGGGATGTGCTCTGTAGTCCAGGTTTCTCCATATATAGTGCAATCCAACTGAAGAGTGGACAACAGCCCAGAAGCCAACTGAGTGACCCATGTCCGAATCTGAATGGATGAGGTTAGGACCCTATTAGATAGGGGCATCTGTTAACATGACCAAGGGAGGAGCACAGATGGTCAACCTGATTTTCCAGGGTATGATGGAGAAGTTCACTAACAAAGGGGAATGACTCCACACAGAAAAAAAAACAAACCTCAGTCAACGGGAGGCTGATCAACCAGAACCCACGAATAACAGATGGAAAAATAACAATTTCCTGAAGAGGGATGAATAACTTCATGTGGCAAAAAATACAATGGAGAGAACTTCCAGAAGAAGAGGATCTCAAGGGGAACCTAGTACAAACAGGCAGAAAGACCAGTCGGTCTACCTGGGGAAGCCTGAGGCCTACCATTAACAACTTTAAGAGTCTAAAGAAAGTTGCCTAGCCAGACAACCAACCTCATTAAGTGATGTACACCAGAAAATGTACAGTATTAGTACAACCCAATGACCCACAGGGGATTGAATAGATCCCTGCCCCCACTAGAAAACCCAAGGGTTTGTTCCCACAAAGTCAAACAGGCAGAGTAAGGTGAAGGAAAGATTTGAGCCATACCAGTCTTCCACGTATAAGTGTGGATCTTGAGGAAGCAAGCTATGAAAAACATGTCGATCCCACATGCTTGCTTGAGCTGTTGATTTTTTCTTCATTGTAAAAAGTTTGGATACGGCTTGTAATCTGGTTGGATTCGCATACTGATTTTAATTGTGATATTTAAAATTCTGTAATAAAAAAGATGAATTTTTCTTATATGATTACTTATTATTATATCTCCCATCTCGACACACTTTAAAGTCCCGTCTCTTTGGTCTCCTCCTTACCCTAAACTTTGTCCCATGGGATGGATGGTCTTCTTTTGTTTTTCCTTTTGGACTATAAAACATATAAACTTAAAAAAAAAACAAAAACCCAAAACCCTTATATCTTCCCTTTATAACTTCACAATGATCTTTATGACCACTTTTCAAATCCCATACTCCTTCTGAAAAAATACCATGACATCTTGGTTCTGACCCACACACCTTATTCAGGAGACGAGTGTCATAGGTTGCATCACTACCTGGCATAATGGTGAGTGGGGTCATTGATCACATAAAGAATGGGGATTTCCTGGGATTGTCCAGTGTTTTTGTAATCTAAAGTGTGATTGGTTCCAACTGGATCAAACCAAAACTAAACTGTTCCCTGTCTAATGTATAGAGACCCAGAATGCAGAGGTGTCATGATGTTTTTAGATCCTCTTGTGGGAAATATCGCATGTACATGGCAGTGATAGGGCTGGCACAGGTCCACCCATTCATAGGCTGCAATAGAGGTGGGTGTATGGGCTAGTGGATGTACGCATGCGAAACTGGAAAGTCTGACCTAAATCCAAACACGAGCCTCTGAGAGAGAGTAATCTGGTAAAAAAGGAGGTTATGTGGCGGTAATTTACTGGATGAACGAAAATAACTTGCCATTCATTTTTAACGACGCTCTGCATATGGGAAGCTTAGTTCTCCCTCTGCACAGAAAATCCAGATGTGAAATGTGAAAAGTGCTTGCTATTTTTGTTAGAGGTGCTTCCAGGTCTGTGACCCTTTTATTTAGCTGAACTATGTTCCGGGTATAGTTTGTAGCTGCGTGAACCCCGGGAGAGGCGTGTAAAATCTGGGGTCAGACAGTCAGCGGGATGTTTGTGTTGTCCTGGCAAGTTACAAGAAAAGAGACGTTCTGTCACCAGTCAAGGGTGTTTAATTCAGAACTGTAAGCATTAAAATCATCAAATGTACTTTTAAACAGTACCTCAGTTTGTCTTTATATTAGACTCCTGTAATCATTTGCATAGTAGACTGGGAATGGTAAGGGCAGCACTAAAACTCACTCATGCACCAGTGCTTTGCACAGAACTATTAAAGTGGTTATAAAGTCTTAAGGATTTTTACCCTAATGCATTCTATAGTGACTTATACAACTGATTAATTAAAGGCACACCAAAGGTCCACAATGCACTCAAAGTTACCTGGTCACCTAGGCAAGTCCAAACAGCAAGAGGACCATCCAAAAGGCTGACACATTTCGAGGGGGGTTCCCATCTTGGATCTGAAAGAGCTGGGATTCACCTTTCAGCCCTGTCCAACAACAACATATTTCAGCCTGCCTTAAAGCGATACTAAAAGTTATTTTTTCTTATCTTGTAAGAAAAAGTAACATGTAAAGTAACATGTAAAGTAACAAACATGTCTATACTTACCTGCTCTGTGTAGTTGTTTTGCACAGAGCAGCCTGGATCCTTCTCTTCTTGGGTCCCAGCAGGCTCTCCTGGATCCTCCTTTCTGTCGAGAGCCCCTATAGCAAGCAGCTTGCTATGGGGGCACCTGCTGCTCCATGTGTCCATTCACACACGGAGTGTGGCTTGGCCCCACCCCCTCTCTCTCCTCATTGACTGACTGGCTGTGATTGACAGAAGTGGGAGCCAATGGCTCCCGCTTGCTCTCTTAGCCAATGAGGAGGCAGAGACCCGGGACATCTGAGGCTTTCGTGCACATCGCTGGATCTCAATGGGGCTTAGGTAAGTATTGAGGGGACTGGGGGGACTGCTGTACACAGGTTTTTTACCTTCATGCATAGAATGCATGAAGGTAAAAAAACCTTGAGCCTTTATGACCGCTTAAAGGTAGCCATAAATGGATCGAAAAGTTCAGCAGTCACTAGCCTAATTTTGATTAGTGTGTGACCACTCCTGTTTGACAGAAGTCGTTCGTTAGACTGACTTCTGTTGAATGAGCAAGTTGGAAAACTTTTGCCGATCAGTGTATTCTGACCAAATCCTGCTGTCAGAATGCCATATCTTGGTGGGATGGGATTCCTTCATCCACCTTGTTGTAATCATCTATGGTCAGCTTCAGACTTTAACAGGCTGCAGGCAGCAGGGCTGGACTTTACACCTACTGTATGCTTCCTAGATGCACTAAAATAACGGGATGGCACACACAGGAGCTAAATGCCCCGTGAGCAGGGGGCCTTAGCAGGAGCTGTAAATCTGAACATAAAGGCTCACTGCCTGCTAAGTGACAACAGTTCTGCCTACAGACAATCTGAAAGATCTGCTTAATCAGGGCCACAGGAGCAGGGGCGGACTGACAACTCATGGGGCCCCCGGGCAATAGGGGATCATGGGGCCCCTGTGTCCTTTCCCAAATTCAAAAAAGCCTATGAAAAAAGTACCAGGGGCATCTAATGGAGCCCCCTACTGACCTCAGGCCCTCGGGCAGTGCCCGAGTTTCCAAATGGTCAGTCCGCCCCTGCACAGGAGGTTTGTGTGAAAACCTCCTAGAGATCTTAAATCAAGGTAAACTGAATACATTTTATTAACTTGAGCATAGTGGTAATATATCCTTGATCACTAAATGATTTTACTTGCTGCCTGCAGCTGCTCTTTAACGCCGTGTAGACCTTCAAGAAATAAACCTTTTTTGCGGTATATTTAGAGAATGCTCCTCTAACTGTCAATCGCACATTAAAGCCAAAATAAAAAACGCAGGTGATCCTCTTCGCTCATTCCCCGTCCTTCAGGGGCACTCACATTACTTTGTTTTGTGTTTTCGATCTTTCTACATTCAAACTCAATCATTTCACATTTCTGTTCCCAAAACACAGCACAGAAGAAAGCCCTGTGTCTCTGTTGCACTGGGAAGCTCTAGAATCCTCAGGGAAGCCAGAAAACATTCCAAGTAAATGCTGCAGAAACGTGTCATTAATCACTCAGCAGGTGTCCTATGGAGCAGTGTCACAGGCTCTACAAGGCCTGTGTATATGCACGAACTATCCATAACTGAGCTAATCTGCAGAGAAAGAATCCAATTCATAACTGGAATTGATGAATAAATCAGAACCATAAAAGCGCTGAACTTTTTTTTTCTCTTTTGGCCAGAAATGGAATGGCTCTGAAATATTAATGTTAGACTTTATACATTTATAATCATAAATATTCTGATTGATTATGTGGATAATATAATAAAATAGTCATTGTTATTGTTTAGTGAAAGCAAGTCCCACAGGTAAGGGAGGGAGAACTACTAAAGGTTACTCTACAGCTGCCTACAGACAAATGTTTGGAAACCAGTGATTTAGAACCCTACCCAGGGCAAAACAAAGTACATTTCCAACCGTACACGCCTATCATGCAAAATATTTTTTTCAAAGCCTTACGTACCTTTTCCACACAGAGTGGTTCTGTCTAGCAGGGCTGGAGACCTGCCTTTTCTATAGTATAGTTCGGTAACACAGGTCTTGTCCCTACCCTAGTCTGTGACAGGACAGTGAAAGGAGAAGCAGCAGACTGACAAGGTCACCTGTTGGTTACTCTGCTCTCTGCTCCTATCAGCATGTTCCTTGTTAGCACATGAGTACTGTAGCACAACTTATTGGCTTATTATTGGATTGGCTCCAAGTGTGAGCTCTGCGGCTCGGAGGATTGAAAGATGTCAATCAAATTCACCTAGGCAAACCAGGTCAAATTCACCTAGGCTAACTACTTGCATTTTAAAAAAATACATGTTTAAAAAAAAATACATTTAATGACGTATTATTGAATACTAGAGTTGTGTCTCATATCTGTCTGGAGTTCAGTTTTAGGGCATTTACGTAGAAAGAATATGCTTGCCACAGCACTGCCACCCACTGTTCATTCAACCCTTAGGAGTTTACCTCTCCGGAGTACTTTATTAACTGGAAAGCAGATAGTTAACATATTTGATTAAAATAAGGAGGACACGGAATATGAATGTCTGGAATTTATGAGTTATCTGTGTTAATTTAAAATCTGGGAGACTGGAGGATTTTAAGGGATTTTGCAGGTTTCTTGGCAATTTTTTCAAAATCCGTCTAATAGATTTGGACATGGAGCGTTACTGCAGCCCCCACAAAAGTTCACTGACCACTGAAATGTGATCGCTTGTCTGCACATTGTACCACATCTCAGTAGCTGGAAACGTCACAAACAATCACATTGTAACCTCAAATCGCTGTCACAGGAGTGGGAAACATAAGGCCACAGTGACAGCTGGTCTAGTACTCACTCACATGGATACCCGATGCCTTCTGTATCATTACTTCCCTTGGAAATAAAATATAAGATGTCATATACATAAATATTTTTTATAATTACTCTTACACATGAAAAAGTATTCAAATTAGTTTCTTTCAAGCACGTTTGGTAACCATCTATACCAGAAGAAAAATGTCAAGCAGTATACTGTAAGTTATTACTTAAAGTATATCTACACCAAAGAACAAAAATGTAATATATTGCCTCTCACCAAACCTGTGGTGTCTGCACTAGTTTTCCTTCTTTCCAAGGGCTTTTCCCTTTTTCTTACTTGGTGACCTTGACAGTAGCACACTTCCTGGCCTAGGGAGCCCACACTTACTATACTGCATCTATGAAGCAGCAGCATTACCCTGATCACTTCTGATTTGGACTATCATACATCTCACCTTGGCACCTCCATAACTGAAAAATGTATGTAAGCTGACTGAAAGTTAGAAGACACTTGGCCTTTGCAGCTTTAACAGCCCCAGTATTCTGGAAAGGCTTTCCACAATATTTTCAATTGTGTATTTGGGATTTTTGCTCATTCAGCCAAAAGAGCTGTCAAGAGCATGCCAAAAAAACCAGAACAGCTGCTGGTGGCACTGTGGTCCCTGGGCTGGAATGGTCACCAGCAAATGTCTCCCAGCAGCCAGCACCTACCTCTTGAACCAGCATTGTGCTTGTGTGCCTGTTCTCGATACTTCCTGGCCAGTACCCATCCTGACCCTCCAAACTCCCCTTTACCTGTTCATTTTAAAGGGTTAGTTCAGCTTTCAAGAAAAAATGTGAACTAACACCCTACACCCTCCCCACCCCCCTGGTCCCTAATTTTCTTACATTCAATAGTGATAAGCTATCAGTGCCCTCACGGCTGGTGTAGCAGTTGAGGGATATGACCATGCAGCCAATGTAGCAGTCTGAGGATTTCAAATCCCCTGCCTTTTCACCCCTTCTTTCTGAAGTGCTTCTGGGACAGATAAGAGTGATACTGACCAATCAGAATCGTTCTGATTTGTCCCAGAAGCCATGCAGAAAAGGAGGGGAGAAGACAGGGGATTTGAAATCCTCAGACTGCTACATTGGCTGCATGGTCATGGACAGCTCTTCACCAACAGAGGAAAGTACAGCGGGGGACCTGGGGGGGTGGAGAGGGTGTAGGGCATTAGTTCACCTTTTATATGTTTCTGAAAAAAGCAAACTTACCCTTTAAGGTTATCTCTGTACATAGTTATTTGCTCCACTAGTGCAATGTTAGCTGTCTGTTTTTTGTTTTTTTCTATATGCATGCTGTAAGTTTACTAATACATTGTGTTGTCTTCACTTGAACAGTGTTATCGTCCTGTGTGTAGCTCACATATCTGTCCAACCAGACAAAACGTAACCTCCTACTGGTTTTCTGACAAGAACATTTATGAGGTCTGATGTTGGAAGAGAAGACCTAGCTCACAACTGATGTTCCAGTTAATTCCAAAGGTGATCAACAGGGTTGAGGTCAGGGCTCTGAGAAGGCAAATCCAGTTCCTCTACACCAAACTCAGGAAACCATGTCTTTTTGGAGCTGGCTTTGTGCACAGGGGCAGTTATGTTGGAACAGAAAACAGCAATCCCCAATCTGTTTTGAAGCAGAACTGCACTCAATTTTTATTTTCATCTACTAATTAGTAATATAAAGTCTGAAAAAACTTTCCCTCTCACATCTTCAATCTTTACCTCACCAATGGTGCCTTCCGCACCCCTCTAAAGCATGCACACATCACTCCCATACTTAAAAAGCCCTCACTGGACCCCACCAACCTGAACAACTTAACCTCCCTGGCGGTATTCCCGAGTGTAGCTCGGGGTTAATTATCAGTGCCAAAAGCGGTAACCCCGAGCTACACTCGGGATTACCCTGCAGCGTTGCTCTGGGATTCCTTTGATCACTTACCATGTCCTGCGCTACCGCGATGTGTCCCCTGAAGTGTCCCCGGCCATCTCCTCCGGCCGATGCCGGCATCCGCCGTCCGGTTTCTGGTCCCTGCGTAGTCAGGACATACGGGGGCTGGAACCGGCGGGAAAATTAAAAATTTTAAAAAGTGACATTCATTAATACACTAAAATCACATTGTAAAACATTCCTGTTTCAAAGCATTTCACATACATTTTGTCCCTACTGCTTTGTCCTGTACCCTGCCTGCATTTTTACTGTTCTTCCTGCCTGGAAACTGAGAAAAGTCCATGGCGTCCAAAAAGCGTCCCTTTAGGTCAAAATCGGTTTTAGACCGGCTAGAGAACAGCGATAGTAAATCAGAACCACTTGCAGAATTGAGTGATAATGATTTGTGGGGAAATTTGTCATCAGACACTGAAAACGATTTTGCGACTAAGCTCAGTGATGTCCGAACTTGGCGCTATATTTCACATTTCAGTGTTTTTGGTTTGATTATATTATTGAATTCAATTTATTATTATATTATTATTTTTTTTATGATTATTTATTATATTATAATTTATGATTTCGGGTTTCAATTTTTATCATACCCGGGATGTTTACTAGACTCTTGTTCGGACAGATTTCAGTGAGTTATTTCTAAAAATTACAGGCCTACAATAAAAAAATACATATTTCCATGCAAAAAATTGTACCACTTTCAGCACAGAAATATGGACATAATCATACCGCTAGGGAGCTTAAGACCCATCTCCCTGCTCCCGTTTCCCTCTAAACTCTTAGAACGCTAAAACACCTGAGCTCCCACCTCACTGACAGCAGCCTTCTTGACCCCTTACAGTCTGCCTTTCGCTCACTACACTCCACTGAAACTGCCCTACTAAAACTCACTAATGTTCTACTAACTGCTAAAACTAATGGCCACTACTCCATACTCTTACTACTTGACCTCTCTGCGACTTTTGATAACGGTTGACCATCCCCTCCTCCTCAAAATCTCCACTCTTTTGGCCTCCGAGACTCTGCTCTCTCCTGGTTCTCCTCCTACCTATTGCGGCGCTCCTTCGGTGTTATCTATAACTCTATCTCCTCCTCTCCACTCCCTCTTTCTGTAGGGGTCCCTCAAGGTTCTGTCCTTGGACCCCTTCTCTTCCCCATCTACACCTCCTCCCTTGGTCACTTGATAAACTCCCATGGCTTTAAGTGCCATCTCTATGCTGATGACACACAAATCTATCTTTCTACTCCTCACCTCATCGCTTCAGTCTTCTCTCGCATTACTAACC